GGGGAAAGTGACCGATGGCTCCGAGGGGCGTAGCGGGGAGCCGGGCAGAGCCTGTCACCGCACCTGCAGGTGGCAGGAGCAGTCACTGCGGGACGCGGACTCGCACCTACCGGCTTACGACGGGGGCTCTTCCGTCAGGAGCAGGTCACGGTGCCCCTTATGCCACGGGGGACCTTTCCCAAACCTGCCCAGGTACACCGCAGGAGAGCCGCCGGCTGCCGATGCGGCTGAGCAGGGCCCGGGGAGGCACCCGTGCTGTCAGGTAATACAAAACCCAATGAGGTTTTTATTTGGAAAACCTTTATTTAATAACTGTGTTTAAAGCGATGAACTTGGTGTTGCTAAATGTGAGTCTGCAGTAGCGTTGCGATGGAAAGACAGAACGGCTGATTTTCTAGCTAGCTATTGGGGTATTGCGTGTGTGTGGGCCGAGGGGATGGAAGAACAGGATGCCCCGATGCCAGACGCATCGGGGTTTGGTTGCTCTGGTGCCGGAGGGCAAACGCTGCCCAAGTGCCCAAGCCCACGCACTGCTCTCCTTCCGTGCAGTGTGGGAGAGAACTTGTATTAATACAGCTAAGAAACATGACCTTTTGGGAAGCACACTCGTTCAGAAGCCAAAAAAAAAAATGCAGTAGGGAACATGTACTTGAAGTGTTAATATTTTGACATGATTATTATGATGGTGTTCAATGTGAAGGAAATGGATCCAGTGACCTTTACTCGTGACAGTTTCAGGTAACATCATCAAATGTGCAAGGTGGCGTTGTAAAAGAGGGCAAAATGAAAGTAAATCTATTAAACGTTAAAAGCCTAGTCTTGCTTTGTTGAAAAGTCAGACCAAAACGAAATTGCTTGCTAAACATCCTGTTTAGTTTTGGGATTTTTGTTTGTTTATTATAATGTTTTATTTATTTTTTTAATTTTGTATTTAAATTCCAGGTGCTTCACAGATGAGCTAAAGTGGAACCATGTGGAAATAGTTTTAACTTTTGTAATGAAAAGTTCTGGTTTTAAGGGCTGTGGAATCCCTCAGAACATAGTAATGTTTGGCTTCAGGACAAAGTTAATTGTAAGGAAGGACAGGAAATGGAAAGAAACCTCCGAAAAACTTCCAGATCAACAGGCACACCAGAAAGAATCGTGGTAAATATTCTACTGGTTTTTCTCTTTTCAGCCTCAGCATTTAGCATTATTTGTAGTTAACTGAAGAAATAGGTGGGAAAAATTCTTTACTGAAGTCGGACAAAAGAGGGAGCTCTTCCTACACCCCTACAGCATCCAGCTTTTCCCTATACTTACAAAGACCCTGATTCAGCAAAATAATTCCTGCGTAGGAATATACTTAAATGCTTCCTAAATAGCAAGCCACGTTGGGAAGGTTAAAAGAAACAGTGTGTACCATTACTTTAATTGTGGGTGACTGTCAGTGTCTTTACATGACAAATTCATGCTGATGTGGGTTTTTTACAAGACTGGAAGAAAAGTCAATGAAAATGTATAAATGGCATCAGAAGCAAAGTATGGTGAATTACAGAAAAAACACCACCATAACTGTAGTGTGTGATCATATGCCATTTATTCAACAGGATAATAATTGACAGATAATAATAAACAGATACTAAAAACATTTGTAATTTAAAATACAGTGAAGTATGTTCTACAACTATTGAGCAGTTTGATAGAACTGACCTAGATTGTCCTGAAGCTATCTGATAGTTTATGACTGAGAGTATTAATTTTTAACTTTAGATCTGTAACTTGGTTTTGTAGAATTAAGTCTGTATCTTTAATATATAGACTTGCCATTTTAATGTATTTCTGTTGTTACGTATATTGTGTATGTTTGTGTGTATATATAAATATGTATATACACATGCAGTAAAACTCTACTTGCTGTTAAGAGTTTGTTGGATACCAGAAATATATATACACATACACAGAGAACTTAAGATAGTAAAGATGCTTTTAATTTAAGATTCAAGTTTTAAAATTCCTTTTTATCTTCTGACCAGCTGTAGTTAAATTAATAAAACTTAAGAGCTACAAAAATTGTCCCAAGCTGTATGATCGGATGAGGTATATTAGCTAGGTAAAAATTGTCTGAGTTTGTAGCTGAAAGAAGTACCACCAAACAGAGTTACTATTTTGGTCATTGCATTACAACAAATTTAATCATTATAGTCAATCTGTCAATTTATAGATTGTCTGAAGTCTACTTTTGCAGTAAGCCTGAAGAATCAGCTGCCAAGGAAGGCAGCATCCTGAGGGTTTCTCGTGACCTAGACCTTGAGATGATGCAAATTCTTTAAAGTACTCTGTTTGCTGTCTTTTCTGTGAAGTTCACATATTGCCAGTGCAGTCATTTTCCAACCACTGCTTTCAGTATGGGTGCTGCATTTTAACTAAATAAACATCTGCAATTGAAATGCAATGTGAAATGGAGGGGGAGAGGAACCCAAAAAAACCTCCAAAACAAACAAAACCAAACCCAGAGTAACTACAAGATATTTTAATTTCCCAGCTTTTATTAGAGACTTTTGCTGTGGACTCATGACTGTAAAATTCTCTTCCTACAAGCTTCTGCAAAATTGTGGAATTGTGGTATTCACAGGGCATTAAGAATTTTCAAAATATATTCTTCAAAGATTTGTACTAATTGTTGCGAAGTTACATGACTGCTGATTGTAAAAAAGGACCAATGTGCATTTTTGCATGGGTGATAAGAGGGAAGTATTTAATTTTCCAGGCTTTAGGTATTATACCGTGAAATGAGACTCCTTTTCACGTGATGGCTAATCCAGTCGTAATAGCTGGCGATTTTTGTATACACACCAGGGTGACCTGCCTCCCCACAGTTCTCACCCCAACTCACAACACCCCAGACATACGCCACATTTTCTGCATCAAAACAGACCAGAGGTCCTCCTGAATCGCCTTTGCAGCTGTCTGTAGAGCCATCATAAGTACCTGAAGCAAACAAAGAAATAAAAGACAACAAAATAAGTTCATATACACTCTAGCACACAAAACAGAGCTCAGGAGTTTTTTCAGGTCCTTGTCACTTCCTGACAGATGTCTGCTTAATGGTCACCAGTAAAAGGGGTTCCTGACCTCTTTGGTCTCTTACTTCTCATTTCTTTTTAAGTCTGGGCCCTCTCTTTACATTTGTGGCTGGCCCAAATTCTCCTCATTTGCTCTGATGTCAGTGATGTGGGTCTTGTTTTACCCTGTGCAACAGAGAATTCAGCCATATCACCTATTATACCATTAAAAGTAGCTCTCAAAAAGTGAACAAAAGCATGCTGTAAAAGGTAAAAAGATTTGTAGGCTGATTCCTGTGGCGATGAAGGTATCATGCTATGTGTATGCCTACATGCCTGCATTTGGCATCCCCTCTACCCAGTAATTTGTTGGCCAGTTTCATCTGTGCACAGCTGTACGGAGAGGCAGAGGCCTCAAAATTTTCTCTACCAGCTTTATTAAAATAGGTTGAGAGCATGTGGATGCTGGGATGGGAGATAGAGCAACTGTCTGTATGTGCTCTCGTTGAAAGGTCTTGGTCAGAGTGTGGACCTTTCGCAACACTAGATAGCAGCCCTGAGGCACAAGTGTCTAGGATCCTGCACTCTTTGTAAGTTTCAGTGCTCACAGAACTACTTGTTTGCAATACAGCACTCTCAAAAAAAGGAATTAAGAGTGAAAGATGCAATCTAAACAGAAATACTGTTGCAGACCTAGAATATGTTCTATGCTTTGTCTTATATCCTCAGTAAACATTTACTAATTTCTAACACCCTTGCTACACTTTTCTGCTGTGTTGATTGACCTTGTATGAAGGAGACTATACTATGCATGAGTCTCCAAGTTTTAAAAATGTAACATCTTTCTTCAGTCCCTACGTTACTGAGAAAGAGTTTTGTGAACTTTTCAGAGTTGGAATTACTAATCCTGTAAAAGAAGATTTCATTGGCCTGTATTCAATTCAATTAATATTTGCTTGTGTAACTAACTGCTTCGGATACTAGCTTTTAATTCCCAAGTTTGTATTTGCATCAGGGAGCAGAAGCTAACCCCAGATACCTCTTTTATGATGTTTCCCCATATGATACTGTCTTGGTTCCCTTCTGGTAAAGTATGATCACTTGAAATATCTTGAAGATCAAGAAGATAAGTTATGGAACTTGCACAGTAGACAAACCTAGTATCTTACACTCATGCTGAATTTATCACAAATTATTTGGCTTTTATGTCTATTTTACTGTCAAGACAATATTTATATAAATTACTTTACTTTTTGATTTAAAGAACACTTGAAACTATCTGTCCTGTAACTTGAATGCTCGTTGCTCTTTTAGTCACGTATTTGGCAATACTTTTTGTTACTTGAGAAGCAAAAAATGTGTATTCAAAATCCTTATTTTAGGACTAGGAGTGACAACCAGTTTCTTGGCCAAACTAATCCTAGTTTGAAAAGTTAATCATATTTTTCCTGGGGTAGTGTAGTAATAGCAAATGTCTAAGCAGATGAGTAGTCACCGTCTAAGTAACATGACTACTAATGTTCTCTAAGACAGGCATGTGCTTAAATATGTTGCCGAATCAGAATCAAATATAGTAAAGGTAGGAAGTTCAGTGGGCTGTAAAGTGCTTGAGTGTTTAGAAAACGTAACTCAAATTGCATGTCAAAATTTGCCCTCATAATCATAGAAACTTGGCATACAGTCTTCGTAACTCTGTTTATAAGTAGGTATGTAATGGTGGATGCATCTAGACTCCAGTGGCTAGCATTTTGCTAATGGTGATAATGTTGCAATTGGTTTATTGGCTTTCCCAAGTCTAAAAGATTCCCAGCCTGTATGTCTGACCTTATAAACAGTGAGTTTGATGCTAGAGAAATTATAGTAAGAAAACTGATGCTTGCCTGCACATGCCATTTGTTTAAAAAATCGTCCTGGATACAGTTCGGAACAATTATGAAATAAATTAACATTGCCCCACTTGAGGATATATTGCTTGGTATAACCTAGAAAAGAAAATAATAAACTTTTCTAAATTAAAATGGTATGTACATATTAGACACTTTTAATATCATAAATTGAAAGTTATATATTTACTTATCTACCAAATATAATCTTCAGTATTATAAACCAGAGACCTTAAACTGCCAGTAACACCCCATATGAATTGCAATACATTGGTCATAAAAGCAGAGTGGTTTAATTGCAGTGTTAAATACAGTACTTTCATTTTGTGACATTCTCACCCTTTCCCTTTCCTTGTCTTCCTCATTTTTTTCCTGTGTTTTCCATATCAAGGTTTTCAGACACTGAGAAACGGGTATATTACTTTCTATGAAATGGATACACATCTCTGATCATCCTTGTTATTTTTTTTTCCCCCTCCAATTCTACTCTGTCTTTTTGGGATGAGATATTGGGACGAGATACTGAAGATACATGTATTCACACGGTTAAGGAGACACTCAGATTTGCTAGTAAATCCCAATTTCGTATTTGCTTTGTAGACTGCTACTGAGAATGGACAGGAAAAGCCCCACAAGATGTGTTACCTCCAATGCCAGGCTGTAATCACAACAGTACAAAACAAATGCTTCCCAAATCTGAAAGTTTGATTACATTTGGCTTACCTGTCTCTGTGCAGCCTTCTCTGGACTAAACTCAAACACAACTGAGACAAGATGTGCAGAGTTTCCTAACTGGTGGCTGCAGCTCAGATCCTCTTGGACAGAGGGCAGGCTGTGACTACGGGTCACTATGGGCTACTAACCACACTTGTTAAATATTGCTACCAGGTTTCCACAGCTGATATAAATCCTAGATTGGCAAAAGGAACATTTCTTATTGTCAAGGTAGTTTCCCACCAGGGGTGTGCTCCAGATTGATATACTAAGCAGCTGAAGCAGCAGAGGAAGAAGTACAGAGAAGAGAACCAACAGTGATAGCTAAATACTGAACCACAGCCTATGTTTTCTGTACTCAGTCTCTTCCGAGTACTTTGTGCATAACTACTCTCCAGTCTTTTTAATATGAAAGCTTACCACAACCAGAAAACACATGATACAAACAATAAATTCTTTTAGTAAGCACCAAAGCAAATACCTTTCTCTAGTCCCCATCCAGAAATCTTGCATCTGTCACCAGCCTTGAACATATGCTCTGACCAGGGGATACAGGCAGGTGTGCTGTAATCCAGGGAGCATTCTCCTTTCCCAGAACCTCTCAGCTCCAGCAAAGCAATGTCATTTTCATAAGTTGATGCATTATAATTTTCATGGATTATCAGTCGGTTTAGTCTTAAAGTATCTGTCTCTCTGTCATACAGTATTGTGTCCAACAATCCGACCCAGACACGGTACAGATGAACTCGATTTGCCCTTGAAAAACACAGTGAAATGGAAGATGTTTTGGTACTTAACACAGGCACTGTACTTTTCAAGTAGTTGTAAGCTTTTGCATTTTATCAAATTTTTTCTAGAATAAAAATTGTTATTATATAGATACAGTTTCTTTCTGGTGATGTCTTTCTGATGTCCATGTTTTTCTGAAGTATAGCAGATGCAAGGCAGATGATGCTAACTGCACTGCAGCTAATACAGAAAAACTGTTAAAGGCCAGGCTCTGTGGTTAGTGCTGTGACAAGAAGCAGGTGTTTATGCCTTTCTGATATCAAGTGAAAGGAGAGTGAGCAGATGTGGATGGGCTGCTGGGACTGGCAAAACTTCCCTGTCTTCTTCTTGCTTGTTCTGTGGCGTATGTGACCCCAGGCACAATGTCAGGGAACAGAACCTGGACTTCCCCAAGGCAGAGATGGGGAAGAGAGGAGGTCCCTTATATCTTCCTTTCAAAGTAGTTATGGCAAACTTTTCCTGCCTGCCTACAATCTGACTGAAGAATGCTGTGTCTTTTCAAACTCATTGTTGCATTTTCATCTTTCTATTCACTGCCAAAATATTCTACTTTCTGTGAATTTTCCCCGTCATTAATGTAAGTCAGTGTTTTAAATTGTTTAGGCAAATAAGAATTAGTAAACAGGTAGCTAAGAAAGGGAATAATAACTAAATCAATCTTTCAGACTTGCAAGAAAAAATAATTTCCCAGTTTGTTGTTTTTACCTGACACAGTGTGCAGCAGTCAGAACCCAACAGCCACCAATATAAACCCCTCCACAGTACACTGTTGCACCTTCATTGCTAGTATCTTTAATTGCCACTTGCCAAGGGAATTCACCCTATTCAAACAACAAACACCCAAATAATTAGAAATCATAGTAATTGTACTACTTTTAGTGCATAAAGAGAAACACATTTCTTGATGTCACCTCACCTCCAATTGACTATATCTAACTGTAAATAAAACATCTGCTGTGCAGAACTGTGAATCAAGCTCCATCAGATATAAGGGATAAATATACTAAAACACAGTAATTTTATTCAGTCTTCTGACTCTGTGCAATGCCTCCTCCATTGAGGTTTTTGTCATGATGCCCCTTATAGCCAGAGAAACAGATATAAAATCCGACCTGGTATGATCAAGTATAGCATTTTTGACTGTGTTCTGTTTCAAAGGCACAAATTTAAATTCCATCTCATCAGAATTCTTATTTCTACCTATAGTATTAGGTATTTTGCTGAATCATTTTCAGTGTGTACTTGTACTGTAATGCTCTCTATTTTGCAAGCCCATGTTTTACTTTATCCATTGTGCCTCTCTTTCCTTCAGTGCAATGTCACTACTGCTGTAAAATATGAAATCACTGTTGTAGCTGACTTGATTATTTCTGTACATTTTAACAGAAGGACAGTAATACCTATTTAAACTGATGATGAATTAATTCATAGATGGTAATGTTATTTTTTACCTTTCTTGCAGTCTCTCCACCTATAATTCTTTTCCGGCGAGTTAGTGTGTGATTTGTAAGACCGCAGTGTACTTTGGGAAGAAGTGTCTTTATCATTTTTCTCTCTTTAACAAAAAGGAAAAATGTATCTCAGAAGTCATGTATCCATTCTCTCTATTTGTAGACAGGTTTATCTTGAAAAATTAGTATTGTGAATATGCCAGTAGCAGGAAAGCAAAACCCAAAAATTTTGGCATCTGTTTTTGCTTTGAAAATTGCTTCTATTTTAGCATCACATTATTTCTCTTCATTTCCCACTGCTGCTTGAATTCAGGAGAATAATTTTAAAGCAGTTCCCCTAGACTTGCTGAGAGTATGCCTCCACCAGTTGCCAAAACATGCAGATGTGGCTCCTCAGACAGGATGAATTATTATGGCATTACTGAAATTAGTAGAAAGCAAGACAAATAGTAAGTCTCAGTAAATCACAAAGTCCAGATATCTGAGTGTTCTGGATCTGGCCAGCTGGCTGGTAGCTAGAATGCCACTAATAGGAGGGTATGCTGCTGGTTTTGGAGGGTTAGTTACACTTACCTTCATCCATACTGTGATTTTCAGCCCTTATCTTTGCCTTGTCTTTACCTGTAGTAGAGTAACAAAATACTAAAAATAGTATCCTCAACAGAAAAAATAGTGTCCTCAACATAAAAAGGACATGGAGCTGCTGGAGCAAGTCCAGAGGAGGGCCACGAGCATGATAAGAGGACTGGAGCACCTCCCGTATGAAGACAGGCTGAGAAAGTTGGGGCTGTTCAGCGTGGAGAAGAGAAGGCTGCGTGGAGACCTCATAGCAGCCTTCCAGTATCTGAAGGGGGCCTATAAGGATGCTGGGGAGGGACTCTTCATTAGGGACTGTAGTGGTAGGACAAGGGGTAATGGCTTTAAACTTAAACAGGGGAAGTTTAGGTTAGATATAAGGAAGAAGTTCTTCACAGTGGGGGTGGTGAGGCACTGGAATAGGTTGCCCAAGGAAGTTGTGAATGCTCCAACCCTGGAGGCGTTCAAGGCCAGGCTGGACAGAGCCTTGGGCGACATAGTTTAGTGTGTGGTGTCCCTGCTCATGGCAGGGGGGTTGGAACTAGATGATCTTAAGGTCCTTTCCAACCCTAACTATTCTATGATTCTATGATTGAATATATGTTTGTCTGACAAAATCCTGGGACACGTTTGAAATGCATAAGGGCACACCATTTCACATGGACAGCAATACTCACTCAGCCTGGTGCTGCTGTTTCCTTTCCTACTATAGACTCTTTGGCTGCATCAGCCTACAAATAACCTATATCCAGCAGATACCAATTTTTAATTGCATGACATCTAATCTGCTTCCCATGCCTAGGGAGCCCTTCTGCAAAGAAACCCTGAGAAAATGCTTTTTGGGGGGAGGTTTGATCTCTAAAGCAATATCCCATTCTCCACCAGGAAACAATAGAAATTCCTCCTCCTGCCCCATCATCTTTTTTGGGCTTTCTAAAGAACCAAAGAAGCATTAGGCAATAGGAATTCCCCCCCCCCAAA